ACTCGCCCCGGGGCGGGGAGCCGCGGCTGGGCTGCAGGAGCGGGGCAGTCAGGGCCGTGCGGGGCCGAGTGCCCCCTCGGCAGGCTCGGTCCCTCCGGTTGTTTTTGCGGAGCGCGGCTGTCCTTGCTGCTGGGCTCCTGGGGCAGGTTACGGGGAGGTAACTGACTGTTGGCATGGCCAGGCCGCTCCTCCTGGCTTGGGAAGCGAGTGCCGTAGCCTTAGGCCGTGAGCAGGCTCCCCGAGGGATAGAGGAAGGCAGCGGGTACGGGGTGTGCTGGGGAAAGGCTCTGGAAGAGTCTGGCAGATGCAGCACCTTCCAGTCCCAGCACCTGGGTAGAAAGCTTACTGCTGGCTCCTTCTGGGCCTGCATGGGAAGCTAGCGTATATCTGCACGTTGCTTAGATCTGGCTAGCAGTTGTTTCCAGAAAGTGCTGCTTAAACGTTTGACAGTTTTGTTTTAGCTGATCTGTAAGCGGTCCTTAGTGAAGGCTTGTTTTTCTCCGTGGTGAAGTGGGAGTCTTCCGTTTCTTTCCACCGTTCTCACTGTGTGTGTCTGTAATGAGTTTGGGATTACAAAAGATAAATACATGGGAAAAGGACCCTGTAAATGCAGCTGCAGTTGTCCGTGTCTCACAAAGGAAGTGCAGAAAAGACAACCTACTGAGGGGGAGAAAGGCTCAAAGAGTGTCACTGTGTTTTAGATGGCAGTGAGCTGGTCCAGACTGGACCTTAGTTTCATAAGGGCCATGATGTTCCTGGTAGCATACCAATTCAGGATTAGTGTGTGATCAGTGTTTCCTTCAAATTTAGTGTAACATCTTTTTCTGCTTTGTGGACTTTTGTTCAGACTCATTCTGAACACAACTTAGTGGCAGCAGAAATTCTTACGTATAGCTTTAACGAAAAAGTGAATGTGGATAGGAATAGCAGTTCTGAAAACTCTGTTTTGCGGAAGCTTAGATGTGAAAAGAAAAGCAGTCTGCTAAACAGTTGTGTGGTTTTGTTTTTTTATAATATATTTCCAGAGTTCTCTGATGCAAAATATATTTGATAACTGTTCATAGTGACTTCAGAAAATAACAAAGTGTTTTAAAAAGGAAATTAGTTGCAAGGCATTGTGGCAGAATTCTGACTGGAGAGTGCAGCAGGCTGTTTACTCTGAGGGGAGAAAAAGAATGGGCCAATTTCTTTTGGGGCTTTAGGGCATAACCACAGTTTATAGCTCTTGGGTTTTTTTTGGTGGTGTTTTTTTTCCCCCCTCAGTCGTTTGCACTTTCTTTAAGCAATACTAAGTATGTACAAACCTGTTTGTTGTGTGCTGTCTTTACATCCAGTAAAGATTTTCTTTGAATTGCTTTATGCATTAACCAAATGTATTGTTGCTCACCTAGGAGAAATAATTTATTGCAGTAAAAAGAGCTGTACTGTTGCTGGAACAACATTACGGAAACAAGCAGTAGTAGTATATGCTAGAGAATGCATGGCTGCTACATTTAAAGTGTGCAGTGTAGCCTGCCATGTCAATTGGAGTTCTGCTAGTCTAACTTCAATTGCACTCAGGCCTGTGAAAGCAGTTTTGCTACAGAGAGGACACCCCATTTGAGCTTGAGCTGTGATTGTTGGGAAAGCTGTTTTGCAGAGGAATTACATCTGATAAGTAGGTTTTATCTGGCTGTCGGTGAACTAGTTGATCTGATTCTGTGTGTGAAATATTAATGAAGATGATTAATACAGGAATTAAGATGGGCATGGAATTGCCCCACAGCGTGACAACACAGCAGGGTGGAAGGGGGAGAGTAACTGCCTGGAGGAGGGTATTAGTAGAACTCCTTATGAATAGGTGTTAAGATTGATCTTATTTAAAGATGGCTGTGAAAACCAGAAGCGTGTTAGCAAATACGATGACGCATTAGATCCACTGTTACGCAAGAAGATGGGAAACTAGTATGAGAAGCAATAAAACTCAGGTTTTATTGTCGAGGAAAGTGTACTGTAGTTCACTTCAAGGATGGGGGAAGAGATGGACATTTGGAAGTGATAGGGAGGGAAAATCTGCTTGTTAGCATATTATGGGGTGATTGAACTGTGAATATAACAGCTGCTGGAAAAGGCAAGTATCACTCCAGTGCATTTTAGGACATACTTCAAATAGGGAAGTGCTGATGTCACTGCACAGGTCACTAGTATGGCTTTGTGTTGCTGTTCTCATCAATCATACATGTTGACATTTGGAAGTGATAGGGAGGGAAAATCTGCTTGTTAGCATATTATGGGGTGATTGAACTGTGAATATAACAGCTGCTGGAAAAGGCAAGTATCACTCCAGTGCATTTTAGGACATACTTCAAATAGGGAAGTGCTGATGTCACTGCACAGGTCACTAGTATGGCTTTGTGTTGCTGTTCTCATCAATCATACATGTTTGGTTATTAGGTGTATTTTTCTGAATGGTGTAAAGAAGGAATACCAGGTTCCACGACATTAGAGATTTATATGGTGGAGACTAAAATTCTGATTGTTTTAACCTATCGAAGCAAAAATTGGATACTGGGTAGGTTTGGGTGCTGGGGTTTTTGTTTTGGTTTTGAACATGCTAGGGGAGAGGGAATAACATTACAGAAGGGGAGAACTGTGCCCTTGTGATTCATTTAGGTATTAGTAAATGGTTCTAAATTGGTCACTAATTAATAAAGAATGAGAACAAGAGAAGTATCTCTGACTTTTGAAGCAATGATAAGCTGGAACAGCTTTCCCTACCACCTAATTTTATCTTCATTACTCTTCACCACCTGAAATAATTCAGATTCTGAGGATTGCTTGACACGAGAGGTATTTTCCATTAATTCCTGTGGTTCCCATAAAGCTATCTTCATCTTGGTTTATTTAGGAAAAAAATGCAAGAATACTACAGCATTAATTGCAAACATATTCTTCTGTCAGTGCAGCCTCAGATACGTCTAGGGATTGGTTAGTGAAGTGAATAACAGTCTGTGACACCCTGTTACTTGCAGGCTGTTCTCTCATCCAGTCGAAACTTTTTTTTTTCTGGGTATCAGTATAGGAGAGCCAGAACTTCATTGCATGTAGATCTAAAATACATTGATACAATATTCTTGAATATGTGGTATCAGTGGTAAGTAAAGGTTTGTTATAAATATAGGGTAGCTGAGAATGCTGAAAGTCTTCCTTGTGGAAACATTTGTTCTGTAATAGTTGTCTTGACTTCTTTCCGTAGTGGCCAGCGGCATGCCAGACTCTTGCACGCAACTTACACTTCACAGTCTATGGAAAGAAAAATGCTTCTACGAAGGTTTCTGATTCGGTATGTTTGTACTTCTTTATATCTTAAGTAACAAATTAGGTAACACACTAAATGCTTGAGAGACATGAAACAACCAGGTACTTGGCTTTTAGTGGAGTGTTGTGTTCAAGTACGTAGTGAGATTGAGTTGCTGAAACGCATGGCTTTTTTTAATGATAGTTTCCACCCAAAAGAGTATATGTGGCATTCGCTACAAGAGTCTGTTAAGGACATTACACCTCTACTGCTTGTGTCTCCATGAAACTTAAGTTTGACCTAGCTTGAAATATTTGTGATCATAATAAACTGATTTATTTTTCCAGATTTCTACACAATATCCAGTCGTGGACCATGAATTCGATGCAGTTGTTGTGGGTGCAGGAGGAGCAGGTCTGCGGGCTGCATTTGGTTTGTCAGAGGCTGGATTTAATACAGCATGTGTTACAAAGCTGTTTCCCACCAGATCTCATACTGTTGCTGCGCAGGTGAGAAATGAGGTAGAACAAATGTTTAAAAACACCTGCTGTCAGAAAGCTGATGCGGATATGCACGTGAACATCACGTTTCAAGGCCACGCTTCCTTTTATAAATATTACATATTTGGTTGAAACTATTTTGGAGGGCAATATATGTTTAGATGTTCAGTGCTTTTTCATTGCATTCAATGTAACTTTGCAATTCATTGTTATGCAAAGCAGAACAAAATAAGAGCCACTGTGAAACTGATAAATTGCACAGGTTTTTCATAGCCACGTTAAATCTGATTTTACTGTATTTCTTGTACACAGAGGCATAGATGGTATGTGATTTTTAACAGAAGTGAGGAAAACCTACTAAAACCGTACTTCAGTAATATAATTCCAGGAAAATGCATTTTCAGGGAGGAATTAATGCTGCTCTGGGAAACATGGAGGACGATAACTGGAGGTGGCATTTCTATGACACAGTGAAAGGGTCTGATTGGCTGGGTGACCAGGATGCCATACACTACATGACCGAGCAAGCCCCAGCTGCGGTGATAGAGGTGAGACTCACTGGAACTGATGTCAACTATAATTACTTATAATACAGACTAGCTTCCAAAGAGATCTCTTTACTAGGAATGTAGTAAAATAACTTGTTGGATTGTTATGCAGAAGAGTTTCTGATGCTTGTATTTGCATTCAACAGCTGGAAAATTATGGGATGCCATTCAGCAGAACTGAAGAAGGAAAAATCTATCAGCGTGCATTTGGTGGACAGAGTCTTCAGTTTGGAAAAGGGGGACAGGCTCACAGATGCTGTTGTGTTGCAGACAGGACAGGACACTCACTGCTGCATACTCTGTATGGCAGGGTAAGCAGCTGTGAAGTAAACTTGGTTTGGGTTTTTGTATTTGCAATTAATGATTCCCCCCCCCCAGAGTTTGAAGAAAAAACAAACAAAACACATCAACACTCCTCACACATCAATGAGGAATCCAGGGGAACGACTGATAACAATTCTGGATTTCCTTCTTTCCTAAGGCAATGTGGAAGGATGTAGTCTAGGTGATGCTTGTTTTTTGTCAGGAGTATGCAGAAACAGAATAAACTGAAAGATCGTAATTATAATGGCTCTCATGAAGACAACAGATGTTAATTAGCGTACCCTGTTAGCTTTGTGGTCTGGAGTAGTTCTTCACTGTTAATACTTTTGTGTCTGTTAACTAGACCCAAAAAGAATTTAAGTAAACTTTCCCCAAAAAACTTTTTTGAAAAAAATCTGAAACAGCAGCATTGGGGAACTCTAAAAAGAGGTACAAGGCAGCATTTTCTTTCACTCATCTTCAGACAGGGGGGAAACAAGAGGTGTAAATACATGAAGGCCTACTGTGCATTTCTGAGCTTGCTCTACAGCAAGTAAGTGACCTGTGTTCCAGCATCTGTTTCTATCAATTCTACAAACCATAACTGAAGAAAGATTTGGGTATTTTAAACTGGTAGTAAGCTACTTGAAACCTGAAATTCAGTACCTAGTAGCTAATGTTATTTACTTGGTAGCTAGCTAATTGCTCTCCTTCAGGTTCACGCTATATATGCTGCTGCAATACAAATGCTCAGTGCTGCCAAACACCGGTCTGATCCTTGAGGGCATGAAAAAATGTTTGACTTGATGCCCGCTGCTTCTGCTCATATACTAGGCTCCCAGAGACGTATTCCGCTTCTCTGCGAGAGGTTAAGTAAAACATGCTTGTACATGTATCAAGCACCACAGCTGACTAAAGTGTTGCCAAATGCAGAGGGAAATAACAAGCCTTGCTGACAAGCTACGACTTCCCAGAATTAAGTGGTTTGGTTTGGTAACTACTTGTGTCTCTTTAAGCTAGAATAGATTCATTAGCAAATTTTTATAAAGATTTGTGAGGAAACGAGCTTCCCTGAGAGTTGGTGGGGGTGGCTTTTATCCTGATGCAGCCCATATGCATTGACAGTTTTGAAGAGAGGTTACTTCGGTTTCTGGATTTTTCTTAAAGTTCTTTTTTTTTTTTTTTTTTTTTCCCCCCTCCAGTCTCTAAGATATGATACAAGCTATTTCGTTGAATATTTTGCCTTGGACCTACTTATGGAAAATGGAGAATGTCGTGGTGTTATTGCCCTTTGCATAGAAGATGGCACTATACATCGTTTTAGAGCAAAGAACACTGTCATTGCCACTGGGTAATGTAAGGTTTATGATGAAGGACAGAAACTTGAGAGTGTTACTAGTTAGAAGTCTGTGTGTTTGTACGTGTATTTGAATCCATAGTGTGGAGATGACATGTTGACTTGAAAAACATGATTTATATGCTCTTCTTCCCCCCGCCTTCCATCAAAAGCAGTATAATTGAATTCAGTCATTCCCTCTGAAAGAAGGCACATACTAATTTTGTGACCAAGTATAAATTTAGTACGAGGTCTAACTTTGAATTCTAGAACAATGACATAAAGTTGGAATGTGTAAGAGCAGTATGTATGGTCCAAATGGTCTTAGATTTTTAAAATGTGCTGTTTAAAACAGACATTGTTGCAGTGCTAGTAGCATGTGTATATCTGTAGGATTCTGAGTTTCCTGTAGGAAACAGCTTTTTCAAAATTCTGGAGAACCTATTACATTAAGATACCAACATTATAAGTCTGATTGTTGTAGGATGAAATTATCAGAAGATGAGTGTAACAACATTACTTGGTTGCAAAAGTTTATATATGTTTGTTAGAATACTATATGCATTAGTCTTTTGCTGCTTATGGCTGTCTCCTATCTGTTTCAGTATGCAAAATATTTTGACGTATCTGTCAAAAAAAAAAAACCCAACAACTTAGGTTGGTTGCCTACATAATTTGGCTTTATTAAAGCCAAGGCTGTTTTCATACTTGTGTACTTTGAGGTACATACAATATGTAGATTGATATTTCTTCTGAGAGTTTGTCCTGAAATTGGGAGTATTGGCAGTTCTCAATAACTCTGGAAGCTAACCTATTTGTTTTAGGCATAAGAATTCATGTTTAATACCCAATTCTAGACCACTAAGTTTTGAAATCTAAGAATATAAAATCAGGGCCATATCAAGGATATAAACCATTCTTACATGCTATTTTTGATAAAACTGCTAGTAATAGTTTGAATGAAGTCTAATGGTATTGGATTGAGAGAACTTTCTAAAGTAACTTTTTTCTGGCAGAAAGGCTTCTGATACTAACCTAACTATCCTGCTTTGGAATTGTTGTTCTTTTTCTTGGACCTTCTATCACCAGCTATTTTTCAAATATGGTTGAGCATAACAGGGCAATACCAATTTTGTTTTCTTTTGGTTGAACTTAGTACAGGAGATGACAAAACTTGCACATCTTGCTTATTAACCCTCTGCTCTACTTCCACTGTTGTGCAAAGAGCATAGTTAAGTGATATGTTCTGGTGACTTTTTTTTGGACTGCTAATTCTGTTAACTTTTGTGTCCTGTAGTGGGTACGGCCGCACTTACTTCAGTTGTACATCTGCTCATACTAGTACGGGTGATGGCACTGCTATGGTCACACGAGCTGGTCTTCCTTGCCAGGACTTAGAATTTGTACAGTTTCACCCTACAGGTACAGAATATGAAATAATACTTACAACATTATTTTTAATGATTTGAACAGATTTTTTTGTTGTTTTAAAATGTGCTCAAGTCAGTTTGCACTTTTCTGCAGCACTTCATTAGTTCATTATCATTCAGTATCATCATCATTCAGTTGCTTGTGACAGGTGTTCAGACTTGTCTGCAACTGCTGTGGATAATAAATCTGAGAGTAAGACTTACAATATGAGAGAGAGGTCTGAGCTGTTCTATTTAAAGGTCAGTGTTAAATATTTTAAGGTGCTGTCTCCACCATACTAACGGGTTTTATGAATTTCAAGTGGAAACCACTTCACCTCTTAAACTTATATTTTAAAGGCAAGAGGAAATGTTAAAGGGTTTGATATTAGACACAGGAGCAACGGGATAGATGCAAGTGTTAGGGAGTTAATATACTAGAATCTTTTGTGGAAGTGGGGTAGTTGAAGTAAAGTTAGATATTTAGGACTAGTTTTGTAGCACAGGATCAGTATCTAAACTGTGGACAACAATGATCACAGACTAAAAAGTGAAGATCTGCTTTTTTGGTTGTAACTAAATAAATGCTCAGTTTTAACTTGTGATAAGTGGTGATTTTTTAAAATTGGTCACTTAATTTTACAATGTTATCCTTGTTACATCGTAGAGACCCAATGCTCATTTGACTTAGCTAAGGTTTTTCTAGTCAAAGAAGCTTCATTGCTTGTCTGATAATTATGTTAAAAGCTATGGAATTATCAAGTGCATGAGTTGGTTAGCATTTTTGTTTTCTATGATGACCAGTGCTGAAGGCTAACAGGTAGGCCTTCCTTCTCTAAAGGAAAAGAAAACTGAGTAAGCTTTCGCATTCCACACAATTTGAAGCCATCCTGTACTGCCTTAGCACGGGAGAAGAGGGAACAAAGATGAGCAAACTGGCCTTGAGATAATCAACTTCTGGTTTACTTAAAAATCTTGAACAAAGTAATTGCTGAAGGTCTACAAAATCTTTGTAAAAGTCTCCTTACATATTGCTGGGTGCAGATCTCTTCTAGTTCTAGTATTTTAGATACCGTGGGTGTTCCAAATCAACTTGCTTACCTTCCAGTAAGAGTGTTTGAAAGGAATAACAGTGCTTGTTTCTGAGCAGTCTTGGGGGACAGTTACTAGTGGTATGATTAGGGTGGAATTAAATCTACCCTTGTCACTACTTTGCATTATTTTAAGAAGACCTTGTTTATTCAATCCTGGTCGTCCTGATTACGAAGCTGTCGAGAGACCATCTCATTTGATGGTTATTTTCTTTCTTCACAGGTATCTATGGGGCTGGCTGCCTTATAACGGAAGGATGTCGTGGAGAGGGAGGTATTCTAATTAACAGTCAAGGTGAAAGATTTATGGAGAGATACGCACCTGTTGCTAAGGATCTGGCTTCCAGGGACGTAGTATCTCGTTCTATGACCATAGAAATCCGTGAAGGAAGGTTAGCTAAATATTCTAATGAAGCTGCAGAATGAATACTTAACCATACTAGACTATATGTGGTACAATAATTCATTTGATAAACGCCTGGTAATTCATGGGAGTGAGCTTTAATAACTGTTAGCTGAACACTGCATGTAGGGCAAAATTTTTACTTGTTAATTCCTAATGATACTAAAAAGAAACACAAGATGCTAGGAGTATCCTGTTTGAATTTGGTATGTCTAGAGACAGTGGCTCAAACAAGTTTAATGTATATGTTCTTACTGCAAACAATGGAAATAATTTGGTGCTCTGGTCTCTTGATTAATCATCTTCAATTCTTACACATTTCTGCTGTGATACAGTGATTTAAAGTCTTAAATACTGTGAATTATTGTGAAAAGAAAGCTGGGAGGTGAAAACTACACGTAAATCTGCCAGGTTCAACAGTCTTAAATATGCTAGATACTAATTTTTGTCAGATAACCTTTGAAAAAATTAAAAGTTTAAAATTTTTCACAAACGAAACAAATTGGATTAGAAATGTTACTGGTGTTTGCAGAATTCTTGTTACGTGTTCCAGTGTTGACTTGGTTTGTTTTTTTTTTTTTTTTTCTTTTGGTAGGGGTTGTGGTCCTGAAAAAGACCACGTGTACTTGCAGTTGCACCACTTACCACCACAGCAGCTAGCAGCCCGTCTCCCAGGAATTTCAGTGTCTAGAGACAGTGGCTCAAACAAGTTTAATGTATATGTTCTTACTGCAAACAATGGAAATAATTTGGTGCTCTGGTCTCTTGATTAATCATCTTCAATTCTTACACATTTCTGCTGTGATACAGTGATTTAAAGTCTTAAATACTGTGAATTATTGTGAAAAGAAAGCTGGGAGGTGAAAACTACACGTAAATCTGCCAGGTTCAACAGTCTTAAATATGCTAGATACTAATTTTTGTCAGATAACCTTTGAAAAAATTAAAAGTTTAAAATTTTTCACAAACGAAACAAATTGGATTAGAAATGTTACTGGTGTTTGCAGAATTCTTGTTACGTGTTCCAGTGTTGACTTGGTGGGTTTTTTGTTTTTTTTTTTCTTTTGGTAGGGGTTGTGGTCCTGAAAAAGACCACGTGTACTTGCAGTTGCACCACTTACCACCACAGCAGCTAGCAGCCCGTCTCCCAGGAATTTCAGAAACAGCTATGATATTTGCTGGAGTTGATGTCACTAAAGACCCTATTCCTGTTCTGCCTACTGTGCATTATAATATGGGAGGTATTCCTACTAACTACAAAGGACAGGTAAGTAATAGATCACTTTTAGGATTTTTTTTTTCCAGCATGATAATAAGAAATGACTTTCCAAATATAAGAGCATTAACAATGTTTTTCATAAATGTAAGGATGCTGAAGAACATTAGCTTAATAATAATAATATAATAATGATGTCAGAGTACTTAAAACACACAATCTGGTTTGTTTTTGTAAATAACTTGAGAGCCATGTTCCAGCCCACCTGGAGATGGGAGTTCCAAGAAACATCTAAAATGAAGTTACTGTCATGTCTGACAACAATTCCCTGTTTATCAAGTTGATGGTAATATATAGTTGAACAGGGATCAAACTAAGGCTCTGTTACAATCTGTAACTCAAGTTAATGTGTATTAATTCTCTGTACCTCGTATAATCTCTACACTAAAGCAGATTCCTTCAATTCCTACTAGTTAGAAGTCAATGTGATGGTGTTAGCTGAATTTTTCTGTTTCAGTGTATTGTACTTGTTAATTTTTTAATGTAAAATTCTGCCTTAGAAATGTGTGCAGATCAGATTTTCTTCCTGTGCTTTTCTGACTTGCTGCAGAATTGTGATGAAGAGTATGTGGTTCTGTTTCATCAGCATAACTGTATTTATATAAGCATCTGTATTTACATAGTATTACTACTTACCCTTTAGAACTAAGGTATTTACGGTTTTAGAGTTGGAGAAAACTTTAGATTGCTCTGTTTCATCCTTACATGCACATGGCCTTTGCAAATAAGGAGGTTTGCACTGTTAGAAACTGTTTAAGAGATGAGTATTAATTGACTGTCTGAAATGATAGGTGATTACACATGTGAATGGTGAGGATAAAGTGGTACCTGGTTTATATGCTTGTGGGGAAGCAGCCTCTGCATCTGTCCATGGCGCAAATCGACTTGGAGCAAACTCGCTTCTAGATTTGGTGGTCTTTGGTCGTGCTTGTGCCCTTACTATTGCAGAGACGTGCAAGCCTGGTAAGTCTCACAGTTTGTCTCACTTTTTTAGAGACATTTGCCTTTATGATTACATTTCTGCCCAACAGAGTTGTTGCTACCTAATTCAAACTCAGAATGCTAGACATAGACTCTTACTTGTTAGAAAAGGCAGAAATCGGTGTTTATGCTTTTTATAGGCATGTTCTTTGCAATGCAAATGCTTGTCATTAACATTCGCTTTGTGAGTTGATCTTAAAACTAGAATTGGGTCAATGCTATCGGCAAAAACAGTTGAGTTGAATTTTTCACAAACTAGCAAAACAGAAAATATTGAGTATGAAGACTGACTTCTCTACATCTTGCACTGCATCTTCTACATCAAAATGTAGTCTGCCTTACACTTGGCACTTTGTACTTTGTTATAGTGGAATTTGCTGCCACCTTGTTGATTTATAAGGTGGACTGCATATGCAAAAAAGAGATAGATACTAAAAATCGTAACATCTCATCCCCTGTATGTGGATTATCACTGCTGAACGTTATTTTTAAATAATCTGGTTCAGCAACAGTTACTGAGCTGAAAAAAGAAAACAACTCTGCACAAAGTGCACAGAGTAATGGTTCCTGATGGAATCAGCTTGGATCTAGCAATGCCTATTGGCTCTGGCTTTGTGCAAACATTTATTTGGATGAGTCTTTCTGTGGCTCCTTTGAAGTCGCAGGAAGGTTTTTCTTAGTCTGAATGCAAAGCTGCAGGAGAGATGGAGTGTGCTGGTAAGGTGCTGCGTTTGATTTGTTACCCAATAACAAATGGCTTCCAGTATTAGAGGTAAGATGCAGAGCTCACGTGTAACTGCAAAGCTTATTGACTGGTCCCTGGTCCCTTAACAGGTCCAAGAGAGGGTGGGAGGTTTGGGGGTGAGGAGACAAGGAAAATATAGGAGAAGGTGGTAAGGAGCCACAAGCTTATTCCGTACTTTAGAATAATTTGCATCAAGTGCTGTTTTTAAGGAATTAACAGCAGAATTTAGCCAAACCTATAAATTCCCTACTCACTGTCACAGGAAAGAATGGGATTCATATATTGCACTGAGAACTCTGTTTTTAAGTGTATGGATGCTATTGGTGGGAGTTCAGGAAAGTTATAGTTAACCTGTACCACAGAGGAAGAAAACAGATTGTGTTGTAGTGAAATCTGACTTTTAGTAGTTGCTAGTCTATGAAACTGCCAGAAACCAAAACCAAGCCCGACCTACTAAACTTACTGAAACTTTCTTATTAGGAGAGCCAGTTCCCTCCATTAAACCAAATGCTGGTGAAGAGTCAGTTGCTAATCTTGACAAATTAAGATTTGCTGACGGAACCATAAGAACTTCAGAAGTGCGACTTAACATGCAGAAGGTAAGCCTGGTGAAGCTCACAAGTATAAGGTGGGAGAACCTGCAAGCCACGGAGGTGGTTTGGTCACTTTGTGAAGTATGCTTCAGGATTTGCTTTGCAGAAGTAAAAAGCAGTGTGAGAAGATTGTCTGTGCTCAGCAAAGGCTGTATCAGTTTTGTTAGTTTCTTCTCCCCTCCATGGTTATTCCTCTTGGGTAGTTTACCCACTGTATAATAGAGTGGGGTTGCCTCTGTTTGGGAGGAACAGAAGAATGTTTTTTCTTCAGGCTGCAGACATGCTGGAATTCAAAACAGCTCTATATCAAGCTCTTTTGGAACTAATAAGTTATGTGGGATATTATGTATATGCAGCATATGAAACTGATTTTGTTTTACTACCTTGCAGACAATGCAAAACCATGCTGCTGTATTTCGTACTGGTTCTGTACTCCAAGAAGGCTGTGAAAAACTTTGCCAAATTTATGGTGATCTGGCTCATCTAAAGACATTTGACAGAGGTAATTTGATAGCAAAGAATACACCTTGGCCAGAGTACTCTCTGGGAAAAGTGTTTGTTTTCTTCTGTAAACCTTCTTATGTGTTTCTTGAAACTTTGGCTAAAGACTTTGACCATTTTGAATCTTCCAAAATACTTGGTAGAGCCCTACTTGCTAAACGTGGTAATCAGTAAAGTACTTGATCTTACTGGTAATTTTCTGGTTGCAGACTCTCTCAAAGAAGCAGAGGCTGAAAACAGATTTAACTGTATAAGGTACTAACTGGTGTTCTCTCAGAACATGATGTGAAGTTGTTCAAATACTAAGATGAACCACTAGTATCTTCTGAAAAGGCCAGGGAGTTGCAAAAAGGTGACAAGACTATTCATAGGCTGAACACTCAGTTTTCATTCTTCAGCTGAACAGATAGCGCTGCATACAGATACACTGCAAGACATGGCAGTATCTTAGGAGAATTTGGTTAATTAAGTACAACTGATGATGCATCTTGTCCACTCATGTTGTGTATTTCTCTCCAACTACTGCTATTGGATGTGTATTCTAACACTGAAAGTAGAACTGGCTTTCTTGAACAGCTCTCACCAAGCATCAAGAAAAGTGTTACAATAGCTTAGAACGTAGGGATCAAAATGAAGATATGTTCATGTAAGTGAACATGGGTCCACCTTGGAGATACTTAAATGAAGAAGAACCTCGTATAACTAGCAGGTGTTCCCCCCCCCTTCTCTGAGGGTGGGAAGGAAGGCAAAGCCCTGTTGTCTGGATCTGCTAGGGATCTACTTAAAGAGCTACCATCTAGCCAGATCTTGTGATCCAAAATGAGGTATGGGGACTGAGTTGTAGGTATGATACATAGCCAGCAAGAGTCTATGGTGTAATTTTATCTCAGTAGTACACATGCAACAGGGACACCTGGTAGAACTACTGAATTTTTCTAAGATTCATTACGATTGTTAGGGTGTAGGAATCGTTACTGAGCCTTGCAGGCAATAGTGAGTAATTCAGTGTTGCAGAGTACTGTGATTGCAGTAGGTAGAGCATTGGCTTGTTCGATTCTAAGTATCGGCAATAGGACAGAAGTAAATTGAGGAATAACTTGTTTGTAGAACATCTTCCATAGTATTTTAATATTTTACTAGGTATTGTGTGGAACACTGACTTGGTGGAGACCCTTGAACTGCAAAACCTGATGCTTTGTGCTCTACAAACAATTTATGGTGCTGAGGCTCGCAAAGAGTCCCGGGGTGCTCATGCCAGAGAGGACTATAAGGTATAAATATTTTCTGTGACCTGGATGTAGGATTGAACTTCCTTGTTATGTGTCCTCGGATGGATTATTTAAAAGTTGTAATTTCTTCAGAGTCTTGAGTTAAGATTAGTGTAGTATTCATTTGGGGTCCCATCTGCTCTGTTTTATCTGTTCTTATTTGTTACATATAAAATGACCAATACACCCAGCATTGGGTAACGATCTTGAGAGAAGAGTTGTTCCATGTGTGCATCCGAATGATTAGAAAGGTCTAAACCAGGACTAGAGTAATAATAAGGTCATGAATGCATAAACAGGACTTCAAGCAGAATAATTGTCCTATACAAGGAACATTACCTTAAAGCCCTTGTTAAGCCTCAGTATTTAAAATTTCACACGGGCGGTGTTAAGATAAAGCTTGCTGGCTATTGGGAGACAGATGGTGTTACAGTTGTAATTGGAATGCAACTAATCATGTGGTGGTAAAGTGATTTGCAGATGTAATTTCTGTTCTATGCTAACCTAATCTTCTTAGTTACGGATAGATGAGTTTGACTATTCTAAGCCGCTCCAAGGCCAACAGCGGAAGCCATTTGAAGAGCACTGGAGAAAGCACACCCTTTCGTATGTGGATGTCCCATCTGGGAAGGTACGTTGAGCCTAATGCTTGAGGGTCTTTCTCACTGTCAACAGACAGCTGCTCTCATAGACAGCTCTTGATATCATGATAATACTGCAAATGATTGTCACTGTCTGAGGTACCTGATACAGTTTAGTGTACTTAGAGAAAAAAAAAAAATTGAACATTTATTCTGTTGTTGAACAGTAGGCATAACTGGGATAAGTTACTGTTGATTGTTGGGCGAGTGACTTTGCGATTTGAGCTGGAACTGTGTTTCCCCTTGTATCAGGCTAGTTCAAAAGCTTTTTTCTTTTCCTCTGATGGTGGCAAAACCTGTTGTTGGTGTTCAGCGTAAAGTTTTTATGGTATTTCAAAGATAGAAATGAAGTCTGACCCTATAAAAATCTTGAGTGTTGGTTTTTTGTATCCCATTCTCTGCATCTGCTTTGTTTCCTCTCCCCCGGTTCTAGCTTCCTTGAATCTAGTTTGAGGACAAGTGAGAACACTTCACTTCCTGAATGGCTGCTGAGGATGGAACGATAGAGTGACACGGTTCTGTCTCCTAACTTTGCTAGCTTAAAGAACTAGGCAGTAGCAATCTTAGCCAAAACTTTACTTTTGTCCAAAAGGTCTTTTTAAAGTAGTAGTCTTCTGATACCATTTCTGGTCAGGCTTTGCTTTTAAGGAATTCAGTCAGTGGTAACTTGATGGAACTTAAATGTTCCTTGTAGGTTACTAACTGTTCGTTTTCTATGGAAGGAAAAGAATAATAGAGAAATTAGCTTAACATCAATGAAGTTATTCAGTTATCTGTGTTATTCAGTCATTCCTGTTAGCTAGGCTGTCTCGTTTAGATACAAGAGGTTTGTTTGTCTTAAAGTTCTTTGTTCTCTTTTACTTTAGGTTACCTTGAAATATAGACCTGTGATTGACAGAACTTTGAATGAAGAAGACTGTTCAACTGTCCCACCTGCTATTCGCTCATACTAGTAACTTACATTTAACTTGCAGTCCTCTCCCAGAGTGGGTTGGTGTACATAAGCATAGTGGAAGCAAATCAAAATAGTATTGTCGCTATCAATTAATGGAAAGTGCTGACTAAACTTTTCTCCGGCTTGTATTCTGCTGTGGCTTACTGTACAATTATGAAAATGGAATGCAGGACAGCTTATGTTCTTTCACCCATCTGTCAAAACTGACAGGGAAAACACAAAATGTGTCTAAATAAAGTGATTAGAAGTCTTCTATTTGTTTGAATATGCTGTTATGTATATAATTACAATGCTTTTATTTTGAATGTATAGTTATTTCCATATTTTAAGAACAAGAAATGCATTGCAATAGTTTTAGACAAGATTGAGATGCTGAATTTTATGATATGGGGATTTAAAATTAAGCATCATAATTGCTGATTGTAAGTAACATGAAAGAAAAGAAAATGATGTACTAGTAATTACAACTTTTTTTTCTAAAGCTAAAATTGTCATACCGTTTTATTGAAGGAAACAAGATACTTCTACTCCAGTTACTTCCTCCAAAATATACCATGAACAGAATATAATCTTAATAGCTAATCTCTACTATCTCTGGAACTTCTGAAGCATTTTTGTGGCATGTCCTGTGTGTGTATTTCCTGGACTTTTCTCTCAGAGGAACCAAGGGGCAGTTTGGCAGAAGACTTATCTAAATATTAAAACTTACCAGACATGAACTAAGGAACTTTAATGCCAAGATGTAACTTCTAAGGCATCAATAGAGCAGTTTCTAGCAGCATTTCTGTGAATAACTCCCAGTTCTTGGAGGACTTGAAGTGTAACTATGTGGATTGCAATTGAATGGAGCACTCTTTTTTTTGACAATATTTTTGTTTTCTCAACTGCTGAATGTTGGCTGTTGTTGGAAAAAATGAATGTTGGAAAAACTGAACTCTTGGAATGTTACTGGTGGTGGTTGGAAAAACTGAATACACCATATGTCATTCTTGCAGTGTTTCTGTACCTTGCACCAGGGAGTTGAGAATGGACTCAGAGAACCGCGCTACCTTTGCAGGGGCAGGATGGGAAAAGGGGACTATATCTTGACTTGGCTTTTTTTCATAGAAAGAGCCCTGGCTGTTGTTAAGGGGGCAGGAAATAATGTTTCATACATCTTTAAAAAGATTACAATGAAGCAGAATAAGCTAATACCTTCTTTCCATCGTCGAGAGGTCGCTGTTCCAGTGGCTTCCCCGCTGCCCTTCGCCCAGGGGAGGCGGGTTCTCCTCAGGCCGGGCGGAAC